ATTTTGTTGCCGAAACCTAACCATGTATATTTTGTTGCCTAAACCCAACCACATGTTTTTGTTGCCTAAACCTAACAATGGGCTTTTGTTGCCGAAACCTAACAATGGGCTTTTGTTGCCTAAACCTAACAATGGGCTTTTGTTGCCTAAACCTAACAATGGGCTTTTGTTGCCGAAACCTAACCATGTATATTTTGTTGCCTAAACCCAACCACATTGTTTTTGTTGCCTAAACCTAACAATGGGCTTTTGTTGCCGAAACCTAACCATGTATATTTTGTTGCCTAAACCCAACTACGTGTTTTTGTTGCCTAAACCTAACAATGGGCTTTTGTTGCCGAAACCTAACCATGTATATTTTGTTGCCTAAACCCAACTACGTGTTTTTGTTGCCTAAACCTAACAATGGGCTTTTGTTGCCGAAACCTAACCATGTACATTTTGTTGCCGAAACCTAACCATGTATATTTTGTTGCCTAAACCCAACCACATGTTTTTGTTGCCTAAACCCAACCATGTGTTTTTGTTGCCGAAACCCAACCATGTGTTTGAGTTGAAGGAAAAAAACTGTCAATTCACAATGTCGTGCCGACAGTGTGTTTATTTTGAAAGAGACTGTATAAATCAGTTTTACTTCTGGACCCTCCTGTCAATGGCTCAGATTAATCTGATCCCATTTGATTTGGCGGTGGGAACCTCTTGCCTTGACCGCATGCCTTTGCTGACGTCGACCCTAGCAGAATTCGAACCCTGGACCTTCCGCATGGAAGACGAGTGCTCTAACCATTTTACACTTGAAAGAGACTGTATATAAACTTTAAATTTTCTGTGAAAAGTGTATCTTGAAAGAAGACCATGACATGTAACAGGCAAAAAGACACGGCGTCCTAGAGGGTCAACATTCATGGTGTTGTCATGGAAAGTCCATGACCCAAATGTCAATAAGTAATGAGGTCTGAGTGAGAAATGTGTTGGTTTGGGAGATGGGTTGCGGTCACTTGCTGTTACACAGTCTTTTTATCAGTTGATTTATTTTACTCTGTTGTTCTCCTTTGTCATTAGCTGTCATATTTAACTGTCAAAAACTGAAACATTTAGTAGCATAGAAGTTAAAACACCTTTCCAGGATTAGTAAAATAAAATCTTATAAGTGGTGTAGACCCATGTGGATTTACTTTTATTTGCCAAAATTGTCAACACAACAACAATCCCATGAAAGTGAATGGAATTGTGTTTGTTTTGATGTTTAAAGCATTCAAAAATCCTTTAAAAACCTCAACAGTAAAATGCCTTTCCTGAAGTCATGCTCCTTATTGTATTATGAATTTATGTTGTTACTGTTGTTGAGCAAAACACTGCAACCCCCCATGTTCAGCAGCTGAACCTGACCTCTGACCTCATGTGGAGAAGGGAAAGGGTGAATTTCGCCCGCAGGGATCAATAACGCATTAAAGAACCACTCTTAAATGGTGGTGAACCTGCTGGCTCAGAACAATGAATTGCTTTAAGTGTTACAGGCGCAACTTCTATCAACAAATCGACAAAATCTCCACACACGTCTCATCCAGAATAAGTCAAAAGCATCCAGCCGTGCTCCCCACCATGTACCTAAGCAATCACATACAATAACATCTAATGTGCTCTCTCTGGTTTTGCAGCAGCCCCCACAGTATGATTGAAGATGAGTTAATAATTCAGAGTTGTTGGAAGCGTGCTAAGGGGATGGTGTTCTCTGCTGTTCGCCTTCACAGCTGCATGGGGCCTGCCAGTGACAGATGGCTCAGCCCATGTGGAGATTTTGGTGCCAGTATAGCCCAGCAGAGTGTTAGACACTTATTGTGTGTGTCTCTTTCTCTCTCTAGACGCTCCTCTTGTTCATGCTCATTGTCAGTCTCACTCTTATTTAAGTGTGAGCTGTAAGAAAAAGGGAAACCGAGCACAAAGGCTGGGTATTTTCACTTCGACTATATGTCTGTGTTTAGCTGGTTATGGATGTGTTCTGTAGTTGGCTTTGTCACAGCCACTTTGTTGTGAAAAGGCTGCTTTGGAAAGCCGTGGATTATTGGATCATGTTTCACTTATCTTATTAAGTTTATCACAGGATGTGGTCTGTTGCATAGTTTTGTAAGTAATCCTTCTCCTGATGCTCCACTACAGGGTGTCCAGGTGTCGTTGGGAGATATTTTAAGCTCTCTGCATGGGCGCAGTCGCCCTCCCTGCCTACGATAGTCTGCTCGAGGACAGCTTGGTGCTACCTGTTGGAAATCACAGCAACAGCAGGACATTGCAGCTATTCTGTACAGTCTATCACAGCCCAGCTGATATTTGGTTTGTGGGGCCTATGCAGCAATTTTTTATTTCCTCAGATCCTGTTTTTCACTTAGAACCAAAGCATCGTACCCAGAAAGAGATGGTAACACATCTCAGTTTAATAGGATGTATTCAGATTCAGAGAACGTAAGCATTATGTGCAGCGTGAAGATCACTTATGGATGGTTTCATACACAAAATAAATGTGTTTATTCCCTCAGTGGAGTCAGTCTTATGGTCTAATTCTTATCTTCCAATGCACAAACACGATTTCAACTTTTCTCATTACACAAGTTTAATAAAAAGTGTATTGCAGAGCTCTGACAGAGAGACACCTTAAGCACCGCGACAAAAAAAGAGTTTTATTTTAAAATGATCATATCACATGTAATTTGTGCAAAGTCTGACTGCATATCCACACCGCTGTCTGCTCAGCTGTGACGTTACTCTGCCAGCCCTCCTGCTGCCTGTGCTGAGTATTGTAAACAGTCTGCTCAGCAAACAAAGCAGCGAAGACTTGAAAACTAAATTGGACACACTTTTAGAGTTTTAAATGTAGTGTCTGTGAACTTAATCTTCCCTAACATGTGAATCCCCTTTCAAAAACAACTTCTAATCTGATCCCATACACAGAGCGATATGATTAAGTGGATTATCCAACATGTTCATCATCATTTGCAAGAATCTATCAACAAGTATTTGAACGCATGATGATCTGGACAAAGAATTTTCCTAGTCAACCAATAGTCGCCATTTAGGGCCATTAGTCGACTAGTCGCCCGCATTTTCACAATATTAATTGAATTATTAAATGATATATTTTGGGCGGGGCAACACAATGGTTTCAGTTGAAGGTGTGAGAAAGAACAGTATCAGTAACATTGTTAACACTGTGCTACATTACAGAGAAATACAAAAGGAAGTTTTATAACTAAATTCGGGAACAAGACCACGCCTTGAACATATCCCATTTCCGTTCACTAAGTATTTAAGCACACCTCATCCGTTTCCTACTCCTCTGATTCAGTTTCCACATCCCTCCCCCCCAAACCCCCTTTCTTTTTGTTTCTTTTTCTCTCTTTTGTGTTATTACAGGAACCGTGGCTCTGATCGTACCCTAGAGATCGAAGATACAGCTCCCCCACCCAGAGTCTCAACTTCCTGGTTCCAACTACCAAGCATCCATCCATCCACCCATAACCCTCTTTCCTCCTCTCATACCTTCACCCCTTATCCCCCTCATCCCTCCTTCCCTCATCCCTTCACCCCTCAAACCTCATCTCTCAACCCTCATCCCCTCATCCCTTCAGCCTCATCCCCTCATCCAGTAAAATTAACTTTTTACCTCATCTGCCGTTGACTAGTGACCTCCAAAAATGTACGGGCCAAACATATTTTTCACCAGCCAAATAAAAAAAACATGCCTTGTTTGACTAAAAATCATTGCCTTACATTTTAAGTATGAAAATCCAACTTTAGGAAAATCCAACCCTGTCCTCTGTGTTTCTTTGGCGTGCTTGCGGCAAAGGCTGCATCTCATCGTGTTGGTGTGGGGGTCGTAGGTCAGCCATGACCGCGGCTGGCCAGCGTCGTCTAGTTCCCATTTTTCAATAAAACACCGTGCGACATTTGTACTCCGTTTAACTGTCTGTTCTTCTTGTCCAAGTCCAACATGTTCATCTTCGTTTTTCCTCTTTTCTGGCGGTGGCTTCACGCCAGGAATGTGTCGCCACATCTTGCTCAGAAGTTACCATAGACTGCCAGAAGTTCCAGTAGCTGACGTCATGCGTTCCCAGCACACGTACAATAAGCCTCGAGGGTCAAAATAGTCTGACACGGCTGCCAGAAATGGTCGAAGTACATATAAAAACCCACATGCAATTCAAAATTTTCCACTGGCCGCTGGCGGGTGTTAATTTTACACCCTGCCCTCATCCCTTCATCCCTCACCTCTCCATCCCTCACCCCTCCATGCCTCGACCCTCATCCCTTCATCCCTCATCCCTTCATCCCTCATCCCCTCATCCCTCATCCCCTCATCCCCTCATCCCTTCATCCCTCACCCCTCTCCTCCTCAGTCATGACTTCTCATCATCCATAACATGTAATAAATCATTCAGAAAATACTATTGGTGTGGTCTTGTTAGTGAAATCGTACTAATGAACCTTCATTAATATAGGCCTTTATTTTATCTACAAGTAAGCCGCCATTCCATCTCTGTGGAATTTCGCAGGTCACTGCTTGGTAGTGACCGAACAGTGGGGCGGGGCAGAAATCTCAAGTTATGACAAGAAGACATGAGTGATTTCTGTTTTCAGTCCCTTCGGATATGACTCCCAAGAAAGCAGCCAATGGTTCTTGGAGGATCTGTACTTTAAAAATGGAATTGAGGGCTATGTAGATCTCATCCCAGTGTTGCTTCAGCTTGTAACATGACCAAAAAGTATGGAGAAATTTGGAATTTGCTTCCCCACTGTTACTCCAGCAGTTGCTGGAAGATGATGACCCCGTCTGCTCCCTTCATGTTTTATAGCAGTGGTTGCTAGCTATCCGGGCTAACCCCCCCCCCAACTGGTTTGAATTGATATTTTTTTTTAAGCGACAGGGTTGTGTTTGTTCTCCTGTCTTGTAGTTGTACTTTATTCAATTGGAGATAAGCTTACACTACACTGTGTTTTTATCTAACCAGAGCTGCCAGAGAACTGGACGGACACCAAGGAGACTCTGCTGGAGGGGATGGTGTTCAATGTGAAGTACCTGGGAATGACTCTGGTGGGCCAGCCCAAAGGAGAGGACATGGCCTCAGCTGCCATCCGCAGAATTGTTGCCACGGTGAGTCACTGGTCCCTCTCTGACTCATGCAACCTTGTAATGGAAGTTAACATCGTCTCTTGCATGCAAATCGTGCATACCATTAGGCATGGGATGATATGAAATTATATTATCCAGATAATCATCAAATATGCTGAAGAGTCTTACAGTTGCTCGAAAACATACTGGAATCACTTTACCTTACATTTCATTAAAGCTACAGGAGGTAACTTTGTTTAAGCAAAAATGTGTCTGTGAAAAAAACATGCTTGTTTCCCTCCTCGTAGTGCTCTGAATAGCATTTGCAAAAATCATAGAAACAACCAATCAGGAGTCTGTAACGCAGCTGTCAATCCCCGCTCGTGAACTGTCAAACTCGGCAGCACTGATCAAATATGCAGCAACAGAATCTTGATTCATTTTTGATCAGTGCTGCCTAGTCTGACAGTTTGACTGCAGCTCACAAACAGTGACTGACATGAATGACAGGTGCTCTCTCTGAAAACAGTCTGCGATTGGCCAAAGTCCTCTGCCAGGGGCTAGATTTTATAAAACCTGGAAACAGAGCCAAGAGGAGGTGCAGCAGTCTACTGCTCTTTCCGACCACTTGAATTATGCTCAAAGCTTATCATTGGCTATTTGCCCATTTACACCAAAATTAAACTGCATACCACAGCTTTAAGAAACAAATATATTTATAGCATCACAGGTAGGACACGCATCCTTTTTTTTGTGTAAAATGATCTAAAAAAAGCCAGGCTTTTCAGCTACTTGAAATGACATCATATCATGCCAGTGCTTTATCATGATCTTTTAGGTTTTGAGGTTGCTATGTATGCAGCCTGTTTTTGCAGAGTCTCTTTTGCTGTTGGTTGCCCAGCAGTGTCTTTGCTCCCCTGTGAGAAGTCATTTTCACTTTGTGAGCGAGGTTTTCAGCTGCAGCTTGTTCTCTGGTGGAATCTGTGCTTTCAGCGGGTGGTGTGGAAGTTTTTGTTGGACTTTAATATTTGTATCCTACACACGACAGTCTACAAATGTGCACCATGATCCACAAAATGTGTGACTTCCCTCCTGTGTATTTGCATATTTTGTTCAATTCCTACCACAGCAGATCTGTAAAAAAAAGTATGAGGTGCAGTTACTCACCACGTCAGCAAGTGGTGACGTTCTCTCCCATGAGATGATGAACCTTCACTGTGTAACAAGAAGGCTAAAAAGGGTGTAACATTCAACAACAGCTGGAAACAACAAGGATGAAGTCAGCCGCTATTAGTTTGTTTTCAGAGAGCAAAGGGAATTTATGCCTCTAAGTATGAGCACATATTCCTTGTTATGTTAAGCATGTGAAATAAAAACTGATTGTTTGTAAGGATTTTATTATCGTGATTGTGTTACCTGAGTTAAAGATCTGCAGTATTTCTTCCACCTCTGCAACCCTGTGTCAAATTAGCCATTAGCTCGATGCTAAAACATAATGAGAATCACCATTAATGCGCTACTGAAAATTAGCATCGCAATAATCCTTACGAACGATCCATTTTTATTTCACATGCTTAAAATGAAATATTTACTCATACTTACAGGCACAGGTTTTTCTACAGATCTTTTTTATTTATTCATTTATTACAATTTTTGTTTTTTAACTTAATTAATTAACTTATTTATTTTCTTACAGATCTGCTGCGGTAGGAATTGGACAAAATTATGCAAACAAATAGGAGGGAAGTCACAAATGTCACATGACCCACAACCTGACAGAAAGTGATCCATAAATGTCCAAATCTGATTTATGTGTAAAAATGGATTCACAAATGTGTAAATATGACTTCACCTGTGTTTGCTGTGGTGAAACTGTTTACATTTGTAAAACCCATAACTTTTTTATGTGAAATTAAAGTATGTAAGTTAAATGCCCTTGCAAATCACACTGTATTTTTGTGGATATGACTTTACACAACACAAATATAAAATATTGTGGATACTGAAATATTTGTGGATCATGTTGCACATTTATCGATTGTCTTGTGTGGTTACAAATACAGTTTTTCCCAATTGCTAAAACACAAAAGCCAATTCTCTAAACCAAATGACCAGTTCTCTAAACACGTTTAATAAAACTAGCCCCCATTTGCCAAAACCATAAACACATTTCACATTAAGACACAATTCACAAAACACAATCCTCCTTTTCTCATAAATCTAAACACATTTTGTCTTGCTAAAACACAAGTTGCAAAAAAGTTTGCTCAAATTATCAAATTAAAGCTCATGTGATGCAAAATGCTTGCCACAGTCAGCAAAATTTGAACACAATGAACACACCTGGCTTCATTCATTAAACATAACAACTCAAAATTGAAGACACTTGTTGCAAATGATGTGACCACACCTATAAAAGCCAGTTCAGAGTGCACAGTTTGCCTGGCAAGGGACAATATTGCCTGCGATGCAGATGAGGTCCTGTGGCCCGACCCAGCTTGACGACGTGATGCCGCACAATGATTGTGGAGTATGTGTGTGTTGTATAGTTCCATAAATAAATAAAAAACATCAAACCCTGAACATTGTTTTCAATGAGTATTGTTGTGTATAATGGATCCTCTGTCGTGTTTGCATTGAGTTGTGATGCAGTACAGTAGTGTAGCCTACATACTGTATTTTCTGTAGATTTACATACTGTTCATATGAAACACACAAAACTATGAATGCCCAATACTCTACAGTGATATATACTGAGAACAGATACTGTAAGATTTCTAAAAATGTGCTTTGGCAGTTGTGAAAAAAAAGTGAACATTGTGTTTTCAGTTGTTTTGTTGTAGTCTGTAATGATGCGTATAGTGTTTAAATTTTTGCAGGCTTTGAGCAGCTGTTTTGGTGTGAAAGTTTGAGTTTTGACGAGAGAAGGTGTGGTTTTGTTTATGTAGCTTTAGAAAAGTGTGTTGTGTTTAGAGTTTTGGGAAAATGGAGGAAAGTTTTGTGAAATGTGTTTTAGCAATTGAGAAAAACTGTAATAAAAGTCCAATAAAAACTTTATTGCAGTATGCCGACGCACGTTTTGCAAATTGATTTATTTTTGTAATCAACGGCGTTGATGAATCACCACTCTTTGTGCACAAAATTTCTAATTTGTAAGGTAACTAGTTTGTAAAGTTATCACATAATTGTTGTGAAGTCAAAGTAAATATGTCCATCTTACAGTTTTTCTCAATCGCTTTGGTGCATTTCTCACATCACCATTAACATTTGCACAAGAGTTAGTGCAGTTCTCAAAACAATTAGTGCAAACTGCAAAACCTAGTTGATAACCTGTGTCACTTGCTCAAAATGGATAGCTCATTCCTCAAAAGCAAGTATTCATGTCAATGAAAGTGTCAGTGTCATCAAAATGAAAAGTCCTGACACCATTGTTTATGAGCCAAATGGCTTTGTCATGTTTTCATTATGACAGCTTACTCTAAGTGTTTTCCAATGCAAAAACGTCAGATCTTGGTGACACTACCTGAAAATACTCAGGACAGCACTATACACATTTGCACAGCCATTTGAAAACTATAGTAAAGTTACACATCACTGTATTTAGTGAGGTAACAGAGTACAAGACACTGAATACGTATGTGTCACATTTTTACTGCAATTCTAATTTGTTTACAGCATTGTGCAAAAGAAAAATACACACTTACTTATTACTTACGTATGACACAATGACAGTAGTGCAGATTGTTTAGTGCTGAATTACTGTCCAATACACACACCTGTTCTCCCGACGAAATGTTTGAATAATTTAATTTACAATTTAATTTAAATTTAATTTACTCTCTCTTACCTGAGAGAAGAGCAAAATAAGAATCCCAGAAATCAGTGGGTTCTAACATAATGCCAACAAATCGCGGATATGAACAAAAACAATAAGAAATTTGTTTGTGGATCATTTCTTGCATGAAGCATAATGTTGCATATAGTTCTGCAGGCAAGGTCAGGACCTTCAGCAGCAATGTGAAATTTGAAGAGTGACATTGTGACGATTTCAATACAGTGAAGCTTTTTATAGAAGTTCTCTTGGGGATTTGTGAAATTACAGCCTCAAACTGAAGTGCACATCATCTGAAAGGGGAATACTTGTCAAATGTTGATTTTACACGTTATTTTGATGACCTGGGAAAACACTTTGTCAGGGTGGTCATTTTATGGGAAATTCTTGCACGATATCTACACTGTAATACAACTTGGGGAACCATGACAGACAGAATTTCAGTAGAAGATGTCCTTTACATCAGTATTTCAGTTGGTCACAGCTCAGTATATGTATTCTCATGGCCAAAAAACCTTTGTTGACATTGTTATAATCATCCAATTCAATGTTCATGTAACATGTAACAGCGTGGTCTTTAAAGTTAGCATGCAGAACAAACGGTCCCTTCATGAGAAAAAGTTTAGATTACTTTTAAACTGAGCAATCGGTGTAATTCACTTTCAGCTTTCTCGTGGCTTGTAGTTATAGTTGGGTTATGTTTATGTCAAGGTCAATTTGTCTGCATGGAAACATAGCTGCTAATCCAGGATTATCAAGGGTTGCACATGTGGAGCAGCTAGTGATATGATGTTTATTTAGCAGCACTAAGCCACACGGGGGATTTCTGAGCACAGTTTTCTACATCAATTCAGAAGCCTGTCAGTTTTCACAAGACTGTTCTGAAAACTGCAAACAAACTGTTGTAAATAAAGATTGTATGTCTACAAACTCTGGTTTGTGTGAACACAAACTTACACATTATGTTCCCTCTTCCCATTCTTCTTCCATGCTCACACACGTGCGCACCTTTTCACTGAACGCTGCCAACAATATGAACGTCTAATCTCCCGGAAGGCTTTCTCTGCAGGAAGAAAAGCCCGGCACAGACAGCCTGGTTATAAACCCCCCACTTTTCCATTAGAGACTGAACCGAACCTAATGGCAGGATTAAGATTCAATTGATTTACACCAAGACAGGAAAAGGGAAGTCAGTTGTCTCTGTCTGTTCCCTTGGAAACCAATCAACCTGAATGGGATTACTGAATACATTTGTGAGTTTTCCATTTGCTACATGCTTCAGTCAGGCATGATAAGACAGGATGGAGGGACCCAACGTATAGAGGAAGGCTGAACTTGCGTATCTCGAGCTGACAGATTGGTTCTTGCCTCATGGCACCACATGAGTAACATGACAGAAAACGTGGTTGTTAGCACTTCCTACATGAATGAGCTGCTACAGTCAGCCACAGCACTCATTCCCTCCCTATTATAATATCCCATATTGTAAGTGCTGTGCAGAATGTGCTGTTCCTTGTTGCCATCTCAGGGGCATTTAGGCACCTACAGAAAGCCATGGCACCGTTCCTGTTGTCCTTCAGAAGTCCTAGTTTCTGTTTAAGCAAAGATCCCACTCCTTTTCATCGTCAGCTTCTTTTCGTTGCTGGCCTTAATTTCACCTTCTGCAAAAATAAAGGAGTTTACATGCAGGGTGAATGTAGAACTGCAGTACACGATGAAATCATTTCTTTCTTCTTTGCTCTCCGTATTCCTCCACAGCCGCTCTACTGATTCTTAACCTGATATCATTTGGGTGTGAAACTAAACTGCTCTCATTTGCTAGCTAATTGCATGGTAAGGAGGTCATTGTCATTGTCAACAGGCGCTCTCACAGACAGCGTGCTCAGCACTATGGCTGTATTTTCTGAAACCCCAGATGGAGCGGAGCGGCAGGGGAAGTGAGTGGCTGCCAGCTCGACCTCGAGTTGCAATGTGTAGCTCTCATTCTGGGCTACACATTGCAGCTGTCCTCCCCCCGGTTCTGTCACCTTTTATAAATTTCCCCACATTTCTGGGACAACTCATGCAGGCTGCCTAATTTTGCTCGGCAGTCAGTGTCACTTTTGAGGGTTTCTGGTGTTTAATCAGATGTAAAATCACCTTATATTTATGTCAGAGTGACAGGGTTGCTCTCTGGCAAGATAGTTTCTGTGTGATTTTAATGCATGTGTAAATGTGTTTCATATATTTTAAACCCACAGGCCAGAGCCAGTGCTAAGAAGTTTCGGAAAGTAACGCTGACAGTCTCACCGAAAGGCATCATCATGACAGACACAGAGACTACAGACCTCATAGAAAATGTCTCCATATACAGGTAAATGCAAAAAACCTTCCATGTTAGTGTTGGGATATGGGCCAAACTAAAGACTCAAAATACGTCAAATCGATTTTCCCAAGCAATGGTTTCTGTCATTTAAGGCAATTCTTATCATGTTCATGTATGTTTATGTCCTCATTTTGATGTCATCAAGTTTGGTTTTAATGGCGATGTGATTAAGGCCCAAGCATAATGCGTTGATTCTGCTATTATGTCTCTTCCCTTGTAACCTCATGTACTGTCAAGTTGTCCCAGGAGCTTCCTGCTGCTGCAGTGATGATAATAAAAGTAATGCCCCTGAACTTACAAGTGGCTAAGCTAACATTCAGGACACCTAAGTAGCTCATCTAGTGAGTCATGTCGTTGGAAATGTTTTCTAATCTGTCATCACTGTATTATATATGTGAGGCACAACAAATGTTGTATCTTAAAGGCCAAATATAGCTGGTCATTCTGAGAACACTCTCGGAGAGCTCATGACTTTGCTGGAACATTTTTAGTATGGAGTCCTAGATAAGGAGTGATTTAGGAAAGTTCTCAGAGCAAGGAAGGTGACAGACACTTTTACCTTATGAGGAGGTGTGGTTGACCCCGTTGCTAGGTATGATGCATTCTTTTAACTGGTGTGATTGGTTGTCAGACACGTCCTTTTGTAAGCCTGCAAGGAAATGAAAATGAAATGAAATTAACTGCTGACTGTGAAAGTGTTGTCATTGTTAGTGTGATTACTCTGCTGATGGAAGGCTGAGGCAGACTCAAGTCATCACTGCTGTACTGTTGCATTTTCACAGTTATCCAAATATCTTACTGTTACCCCTTTAACACCAAAGCAGTTCCAGTGCTGGTGCTGGTGCTGGCTCTCAGTTGGTTCAACTTGCGAACCAGCTGAGAACCAATTTGCTTTTCCACGGCTCGAGGTGGTTAGGGTGCCACGTCATTGCGTCACTATATACATTAGTTACGTTGTTGCTTTCCCACTGGCGCAAAGCTTGAGGGAACAACAACAACGATGGCAGCCCAAGTACTTGTGCAGCTGTTACTCCTGGCTCTATGAGGCTTCATCGGCATCCAAACATGGCAGATAGATCATATTTGTGCTGCTCGACAAGATTTGTATGGACGGCAATTACGTTCCAGAAGACAGCTTAACCTAACACAGTTTGTCTCTTACTAACATTGAATGTGAGATTGTTATGTTAGCCTTTGTTGTAAGCTAATGTTAGCTGGCAGAGCACAGCTAATTCACAACGCAAATGTGTATGTGTACTTATTTAGACAACTGAGGGCTAGTTTATTGTAGTTTCAGCTGGACAAAAGAGGATGCTTAGCTCTGAAATGAACTCTACTATTTGAAATGCATGTAAACAAACTGTATGAAAATGAGTGTCTCAAATCACATACTTCCGTTAGTACACTTCTATGTAGTATACTATGTGCACTATGTACTCATTGGCGTAGTGCACAAATTTCAACAGGGTAGTGTTGTCTCAAACCAAACATGGCTGTTGTGCACTCACCAGAAATGATGACCACAAACTAGCTAGTTAGCAAACTAGTATTAGCATTCGTGTTAGCGTTCGCGGTACCAAATCATTACAGACTGCTAAATTAACCCAATAAACATACTGCTGGCTTATACCTGTTATGGCTGTGTGTGTCCTGTGCTGCTGTCCCTTCTCCCTCCTTTGTAGATCTGCCCAGGTGTGCTGCATTACTTAACGAGGTGCAGCACACCTGGCATGGAGGAGGTGCTTGAGAGGCCGTTTACACGTACACGGTGATTTTGATAAACGGAGACATCTTCCTTCGTTTGTGCCCTTCGTTTACACGCAAACGGAGATTTCTCCTCTGAAAACGAGTCTTTCTAAAAACTCCGGCCAGAGTGGAGATTTTGGAAAACTCCGGTTGCGCGTTTGCATGTAAACTGAGATAAATGGAGATAAACGGAGTTATAGGCAGTCGACGTCACAGTATGCACCGGAACTTGTGCCTGTGTCAAAAGTGCAACCTATGGTGACAATGGATACATGGAAGGCTTGAGCTTCTCGTTACACTGCCACCTACAGGTTTGGCATGCTCTTGTGTATATATACACGGGTAAGTGTAAACGAAGATCTTTTTGAAAACGGAGAGGGTGAAATGTCCGTTTATTAAAATAGCCGGCAACGTGTAAACGGCCTCTAAGAGCTCCTGTGCCAGCAACAGCGGAGAGAGGCTCTGGTGTGGGGACTGCTGGTCCTGCTGCCTCTCACCATGGGGTTTTTGTTGTCTTGTTTGCCTGTTTTAAGTCTAATAAATCCCATGGATTTGAATGTTTTAAAGGTATTCATGTGATTATTTTGGGTCAGTGTTTGGAGTTTTGTTCGCCCCATAGGGCCGCCTAAGGGTGGGGCATAACATACCCGACAACAGTATAGTGGTGCTTAGTGCAAAAAACAGATGTATTTGTACAATGCAGCGACATTCACGGTCGCAGTCCTCGGCCGCCATTTCCAGTTTGAAAAGTGGTCCCTCCCCTTCAGCTACGTAGCCTCGATGGCATTCTCGGAACCCATCGGCTGTATTTGGCGTCTGACTTCCTGCAGACTCTGGGGGCAGACCCCCGATTTTTTGGCATTCCGGTTTGATTTGGGCGGAGGAGGCGAATTTCCATTTCCAACTTCTGTTTATAAATAAGTAAATATGCTGAACCATTGCGATGGATTCAGAGTTTGCAGTGACGCCAATTATGTTCCGCCTTGTTAGTTCACCACACGGACCGTTTAACCTGGCAACAACTGCAGCCGGCTCAAACATGATTGGTCAATATCACGCGGACTACAAACAGCCTACAACCGGAAACCAGGGCTCTTCCGCTCTTCTTCCGGAGGCAAGATCTCCGGGGTTTGCCTACAGACTCTACATTCACTGAATGTAGAATCTGTATATAGAGACTACCTAGAGGGTGACCATTGAGAGTGACAAGTGTCCATAGTTCCACACTCAACTTCTTGACCATTTTGAGTGCACCATCTGGGTACTGCACTGTATTTTTCCATACTTCTCAATGTGAATGCACTTTACACTCAAAACATTAAGTGTAAATACAGAAGTATGCAACTAGAGACACGGCATTAGTATTGTGATCAATTTGTGTTAGGTGGGAAATGTGTGTGTTCTGTATGAGCTCAACAACACATTTTTCCTGCACAATCTAATCTGTAGCATTACAGTTACTCATTATATTTCCTTTCTGTGTAACACCCAACTCATTAATGGTGTAAATTCCAAACTAACACCAAAATGAAAATAACCAGCATAAACCATGTTTTCAACAGACACATAAATAACACTAACAAAAAGTGACATTTGTGTTTCGCTACATAAAACAGCAAACTTAACTGCATACAAGAAACTACTCAGTCCAGCACAAGGAATGATGGGAAATGTGGGCGTCGCTACAGTGATAATATGAGGGAAACTCCCACTAACTAGGCAAATTTATACAATGTGAACTGCCATAAGCTTGTGCTACTAATGTTAGGTTGTTGTATTAAAGGAGAGAATGTGCCCAGCAAAAGACAAGCATTTGCCTGTGAATCATGAGACTTCTAATGAAGCTGAGTGTACTTGTGTTTGAAAGTATTAAGCTTTGTTTAATGTGTGTTTAAAGGATGTTTGAAATCAATCAGACTTTACAGCACTTCACAGAAACTCCATCACAGACTGGTGTTTTGGAGGTGTAACTGCAGCGCAACACAGACAAACCACCTGTAACTGTTGCCACTATATGTGTTACATATTTCCATGAAGTTTCCATCTAAGAATGACTTTATGAATCAGAATTTATTTTGGGTAATATTCTGTATTTTATTTGTGCTCTTTTAGTAAACAGGAAGAGTCTTTTATTTTGAAGCCCCGTTGAGCTGTTTCTGTCTGGTTAACGTGAGTGAGTTAGAAGCTAGCTGACGCTGCTGAGTGCAGGTTGCATACACAGATGCTCATATGCACCTGAGGATGAGCTGTACCTGCTTTTAGAACAAGAGTAATGTTTACTGGTGTATACGAAGATAAGAAGATTCCAAGATGATTTCCTTTCCTAGCATGCAGCCAACGAGGTACTTTATTACATTTGTATTTATTTTGTTTTCTATTGTTTGCTATCATGTTTGCTATTCAGCTAACGTGTTGTCTCTATGTTTAATACGTTGTGTATTATTAATTTTCACGGTTTGATGAGGAGAGAAGACTTCAGTAAAACCTGTCAAGAAAACCACTTGTGTCTGATTGTGCCTGGGGAGGGAGTCACACCACCCTACAAGTATATTAAGTATTAAGGGGACATCTTTGGGTCAACATGTTGTGACCAGTCATACATCTTACCATCGGGGGAACAATATACAGTACAGGCCAAAAGTTTGGACACACCTTCTCATTCAATGCGTTTTCTTTATTTTCATGACTATTTACATTGTAGATTCTCACTGAAGGCATCAAAACTATGAATGAACACATGTGGAGTTATGTACTTAACAAAAAAAGGTGAAATAACTGAAAACATGTTTTATATTCTAGTTTCTTCAAAATAGCCACCCTTTGCTCTGATTACTGCTTTGCACACTCTTGGCATTCTCTCCATGAGCTTCAAGAGGTAGTCACCTGAAATGGTTTTCCAACAGTCTTGAAGGAGTTCCCAGAGGTGTTTAGCACTTGTTGGCCCCTTTGCCTTCACTCTGCGGTCCAGCTCACCCCAAACCATCTCGATTGGGTTCAGGTCCGGTGACTGTGGAGGCCAGGTCATCTGCCACAGCACTCCATCACTCTCCTTCTTGGTCAAATAGCCCTTACACAGCCTGGAGGTGTGTTTGGGGTCATTGTCCTGTTGAAAAATAAATGATCGTCCAACTAAACGCAAACCGGATGGGATGGCATGTCGCTGCAGGATGCTGTGGTAGACATGCTGGTTCAGTGTGCCTTCAATTTTGAATAAATCCCCAACAGTGTCACCAGCAAAACAC